TATGCTGGGTGTGCACTCTCCTGAAGTCCACGACAATCTCCTTCGTCTTCTCAACATTCAGGTGGAGATTGTTGTCCTTGCACCACGTGGCCAGCCTGATCACCTCACTCCTGTAGTTTGCCTCATCACCGTTTTTGATGGCACCCACCACAGTTGTGTCATCCGCAAACTTAATAAAGAGGTTGGAGCTGAATGATGGTGTGCAGTCGTGGGTCAGCAAAGTGAAGAGGAGGGGACTCAGCACACATCCTTGGGGGACCCCTGTGTTCAGTGTGATGGTGCTGGAGGTGTTGCTGCCAACTCGAACTGCCTGTGGTCTCCCTATCAGGAAGTCCAATAGCCAGTTGCACAGGGAGGTGTTGAGCCCCAAGTGGTCTAGTTTGTGGATGAGCTGCTGGGGAATGATTGTGTTGAATGCTGAGCTAAAGTCGATAAACAGCATTCTGACGTAGGAGTCTTTAGTCTCCAGATGGGTGAGAGCTGAGTGGAGGGTAGCGGAGATGGCGTCATCGGTTGAGCGGTTAGACCGATACGCAAACTGGAAAGGGTCCAGGGCGGGGGGAAGGACAGACTTGATGTGTTGTAGGACTAGCCGCTCGAAGCACTTCATAAGGATGGGAGTGAGTGCGACCGGGCGGTAGTCATTGTGGCAGGAGGGAGATGACTTCTTCGGGACCGGGATGATGGTGGTAGCTTAGAGGCACGTGGGTACAACAGCCTGTCTCAGCGAGGTGTTAAAGATGTCGGTGAAGACATCTGTGAGCTCCTCCGCACAGTCTCTCAGGACACGACCCGGAATGTTGTCAGGGCCCTGGGCTTTCCTTGGGTTCGTCCTTCTGAGGGATCTCCTCACGCTATCTGGGGATAGCGTCAGCACCTGATCACCGGGAGGTGGTGGAGTCTTCTGTGCTGGGGTGCTGTTGTCTGCCTCAAAGCGAGCGAAAAAGTCCTTCAGCTGGTTCAGCAGAGAGGTGGAGCTGTCACAGGTCTGCGGAGAGGGTTTATAGTCCATGATGGTCTGCATCCCTCGCCACAGGTTCCTGGTGTCTCTGCTGTCATTGAAGCGGTCGGCGATCCTCCTGGAGTACTGCCTCTTCGCCAATCTGATGCCTCGCGACAGGTTGGCCCTGGCTGTCTTCAGGCCCATCTCCTCGCCAGCTTTGAAGGCGGCGTTCCGAGACCTCAGGAGCCTGTGGACTTCCCCTGTCAGCCATGGCTTCTGGTTGGCCCGAATGGAGATGGTTCTGGTGACCGTGACATCCTCCATGCACTTCCTCATGTAGGAAGTGACGGTCTCCGTGTACTCCTGGAGGTCTACGGTGTTGTTGTAGGTGGCTGCCTTTCTGAACATGTTCCAGTCGGTGGTGGAGAAGCAGTCCTGGAGTGCCTCTGAAGACCCCTCAGGCCACACGCATATCCGCTTTATAACTAGTTTGGTGACTTTAACCAGCGGCCTGTACGCTGACGTTAGCAGAACAGTGGTGTGATCTGAGGCCCCAAGGTGGGGGAGGGGACGGGCTTTGTAGGCACCTTAGTGTGTAATGTAGACATTGTCCAGGATATTGTTTCCTCGTGTGGGAAAGTTGATGTGTCCCTGGAGTTGTGGAAACACGATCTTGGGGTTGGCATGGTTGAAATCCCCAGCCAGAATGAGGAAGGCATCTGGGTGGGCTGTCTGCTGGTCACCGATGTGCTGATGGAGTTCATACAGTGCCTCGTTCCTGTTGTTTTCGGAGCCAGAGGGGATGTATAGTGCCACCAGCAATATGGCACTAAATTCCCTCGGCAGGTAGAATGGCCGGCATTTAATTACCATAAACTCCACCGATGATGAGCAGTGTTGGCAGACCACAACAGCGTCGCGGCACCAGGCATCGGTGATGTAAACACAGAGTCCCCCGCCGCGAGTCTTCCCCCCCTCGACGAGCGCTCTGTCCGCCCGGTAACATGTTAGCCCGGCTAACTGAATGGCATGGTCCGGGACGCTGTCGTTAAGCCATGTCTCCACAAACACAAGGACACAGCACTCACTCACAGTCCTGGAAGTTATACGAAGAAGGCGGATATAGTCCAGTTTGTTTTCCAGCAAGCGTACGTTGGCCAGTGTGATGGTAGGGATAGCCGGCCGGTGAGGGCTAGCCGCTCGCCTAGCCTCGATACCTCCGCGCTTTCCCCTCTTCTGCTTCCTCATACACCGCCTGTGGCGCTTCCACTGTAGGCTGGTTGCAGTAGTAGGGGTCGGTGGTAGAGCAGGCCTCTGGAGCAGACCGCAGTCGCGTAGCTCTTCCGCGTCTGCTGGGTTTATATCCATGAGTGTGGTTCTGCCGATGGCGAGCAGAAATTCGCGAGAGTATGTGCGCCTTACGTTTAATCGACGTGATGATGACGAACAAATGCACGTAGATGGATAACACAAAAAACATAAAAACACCGATCTGATGGGAGAGAGAGGAGCCGCTGCATGTAGGGTGTGTAGTGTGTGGGGTAATACGCCTACGTGGGGCACGAGGCCTTTTTGTCCTGGTACCCACACGTGCTTCGTCTGTTGAGCTGCAGACACAACCAGCAGCAACAGTGCCTCTAGAGGTAGGCACTTGTCTCTCCACCTCAACCTAAGCAGGGCTGATGATGGAATTTCCCGTTAGCTCCAAGATGAGAAAGGCCTTTCTTTCACCCCACGTAGGCCTCTTACCCATCTTAACCTACATATTGGGTGATGAGCTCCTTTAGGTAAGACAGAGCAAGGCCATTCAGAACTGTACAAGTGACATTGAAGTCAATCCGTAATTGCACAGGAATAAGTCAGATCATTGGGCAGATCAAGACAGATCATTGCACAGCTCCTGGACACTTCTGCTCAATGCTTCTGCCGCGTGTATTCTCCCTGTACTGGTGGAACGCCGAGTAAATCTGCACCCTGTGGACTGAATGAGCGACTAAGGCCTAGTAGGGTGTGGGGTAAGAGTCCTAAGTGGGGTAAATGCTTCATGTTGTCCTGGTGCTCACGCGTGTCTTAGTCCATTAAGCTGCAGACACCAGCAGCAGCAGGGCCCTCTTGAAGAGGGCGCCAGTCTGCACCTCAATCTGATCAGCGCTGATGACCACATATCCTGTTAGCTCCAGGATAAGAAAGGCTTTTCACTCCACGTAGGCCTCTTACCCTGCCCTGCCACCTTCAACCGTGAGTCCACCCCCACACCGCACCCACAAAAGCCACAAGACATCCTGCATTGAGTACTCGCCGATGGGTGGCTAACCTGGTGACATGAATGTCCCATTTAAATATTATGAATAACTTTGGCCATCAAAATGCGGAACTCCCATGGCTGGCTCAAAGCCGCTGAATCGAGATGCGTATACCGCCGTGTAGCTCTTTTTCGAGTGGGGAAGATGCTTATGTTTTACATTTGTACATTTGTTGTGTCGTGGATATAATGAAACCGCTGCCAATTGGAATTTCCAGCATTGGCTCAAGGCAGAACCAATATGAAACTAATATGTTGTTGTTGTATTACCTAGTTAAGGCCCACTGAGCTATATATAGCTCTTCTTCAAGAAGCAACCTGGCTCTCTCAAATGATCACTCAACGAAGTGGCTTTTCATCACGTGGAAATGTATCGGTGGACCCGGAGAAAACCAATTTTAATTTTACCAGGTAATGCCCACTGAGCTATATAGCTCTTTTTCAGAAGCGACCTGGCCACAAATGATAGCTCACGAATGTGGTTTTTCATTAGGAAATGTATGTCAACCAAATACTCTAACCGGATGTTTTTAAATGTGGAGGGAAAAACTGCAGGACCTGGAGAAAATGTAACTCGACCACGGGGAGAGAGGTAAACAAACTCCAGATATACAGCTGGTGTCAGGGTCGTGATCGAACCAACGACCTCCTGTATTCCATGCGAGGTTGTTAACATTCTCCTAGCCACTGTCGTGTCCATGGCTGGTGTCAGTATGGCGGGGCACATGGTCGCAACAACACACAGAGCCAAATTGGCTTGTCATCGCGTCACAGGTGTAGTGCCATAAGAGGAGAGGGGCTGCTCTGGTATCCTAGGCAGATAAGCCTTGGCGCCAGGCGCTAGGATCCCAACCCCCCAGCCAGTTAAGCCCCTTGGCGCCACCAACGGGGGGGGGGGGGGCTGTGTGTGCTCTGTGGGATATCTGGGGGCGCACACAACCCCACCCCTCGTTGGGGACGAGGCATAAAAGGGCAGCTCCCTGGCCGATCGGGGCCAGTTGTAGCTCAAGACCCAAGACCCAAGACCAGCCAGCTTAGGACCCTGGACCCCCTCGTCCGCTTGTCCTTGTAAGGGCCGGGACGCTGTGCGGGCCAGTGGTGGGACTCTGGGACTCCCGGCTCTATGTCCTTGTAAGGGCGAGTTCCGAGGAAGCCAGAGTCCAGACCCGCACCTTGGCTGGGTCGGGTCAGATTAGCCTCCCCTAGGGTAATTGTAGCCGGAGGACCCCAGAGCGAGCCAGAGTAGTGTATCTAGGCGGTGTACCTAGGCTGTGTACCTAGGCTGTAACAGAGTATGAAGACTGAATGGAGTGTTGTATTGTAATAAAGAAGTTCCCTCTACAAGTGTCTCCGGAACCCATTACACAGGCAAGGAGCGTGCCATGTAGACTATTGGTGGTTCTCAATCCGGTGTGGTACGCGGCGGACCCCCGGGAGGTAACGCGTGGCAATGCTTTTTTGCGTGTGCATCTCAGTGTATCACGGCCACGGGCTGCGTGGTTGTCACCACCGTGAAGGAAGTCCCGCGGTTCTTCTGGTGTCGCAGATCACGCGCGATCTGACACGTGGTGTGTGATCTATAAATGCGTTAAATTGTTATACATGAGAGTCATTGTTGAATAATCACATATGAATCTGCCAATAATAAAATAAATACGACAACATTTTCACCCATATGGTAACCTAGAACGATGTGAAAGACCTTTCTAAACTCATTGATCGTAAACAATGTTGGTTTCCAAGAGTAACCGGCGATCACGAACAAATTACGTCATGCACGCAGAGCGTCCGTTAATTTTATTTTGCATTTGCTTGCAGTTACTTAGCTAGTTAGGATATACCTCACAAGAATGGACAATTGGTTCAAATATTTATGTTTATTATTCATTTCATTTATTTCTCAGAACCACGTTGGGTCAGGCAAGGGGGGTACACTCGGTTAAAACTAAATTCAACAAGGGGGATAGAGTAGCCAACAAAGTTGAGAACCACTGCTGTAGACAACCAAACGATAAGTCTAACCTTCATGTATCCGTGTCTTCACATAAAAAAAACAAATTAGAGTTGTTTTTACTCAAACCATCGGCCCATATCCTTTTATGAGTGCATAATTTCTGCAACGTTGATTTAAATATAAGCAAAAAAAAATCTACATTGGTTTCAACATTCAGTGTCCCATCAGCAAAAAATCAGGCTCCATGGGTTGTGTACAAATATTTGTATTTTTTATGTGATATATGAAGGAGAAGCATTGCCTGCTTATCTATCTTGTTATTTACGTGTATTTTTGTGTATATGTGTGTATGTGTGTGTATGTATGTGTATGTATGTTTGTGTATGTGTGTATGTATATGTGGGGAGCGGTGATGTTGCCGTTAGTACGCTGCGCTACGAACCCCGAGACACGGGTTCAAATCCGGCGCACGGCCAACACCAGTGACGATTATCTGAACCGGTCCTGGGCCTCCCCTAGGTCGACTCAGCCTCAAATTAGTAGCTGGCGCAATGTGTAAACATGGCCACTAGGGAGACAAAGGCGGCCGGGCGTGGTGTTGGCCACCCACCCCCTCGTGTGATGTTCCGGCCTTCATAGGTGCTCGCTAACAGCACTTGCCCCTTCAGTCTGTTAAGGCTATACGGGGGATATTTTTTGTATGTGTATGTATATGGGTATATGTGTGTATGTATGTGTATATATTTTTCGATTTAAAGCTTTCGTGACTGCAGGGATTCATCTTCTTGGTTCTTTCGGTGAAGTCACGTAGAAGGGAAATAATAAAATAATAAAAATAAAGCATAATAAAAGAATTCTCACGACGTTTCGGCCACAACGGCTGCTTGCGTTGTGGCCGAAACGTCGTCAGAATTATTTTATTATGTTTTATTTTTTATTATTTTTTATTTTATTATTTCCCTTCTACGTGACTTTATGTGTATATATTTTTGCGTGTGCATCTCAGTGTATCACGGCCACGGGCTGCGTGGTTGTCACCATCGTGACGGAAGTCCCGCGGTTCTTCTGGTGTCGCAGTTCGCGCGCCATCTGACACGTGGTGCAGTGATTGCAGCACCACAGGCTCACGAAGTCGTCACACACGGTGCCCTGCATCGCAACAACAACAACAACAATGACTGCCGCCGTTCACCACTGAGTGACGGGTGATGTCACCACGGTGCTTGTGCCATGCTTAGGTACACTTTGAGGCCACGTGTCGAAGGCCCCACTGGCAGAAGGTCACACGGACAGACCCAGGTGCTGTGGGTTAACTTCCTCAAATCGCTGATAGTTGCAACTCCTGCAATCGCCACTGTGACAACTCTGTGCGTTTTAGCCACCCGGCGCTCCGCTCATTGTTGTGAACATTGCTCCTCCGCCCTCAGTTGTTGCTGGAGAGCGACTGCCTCCAACTGCCCAGTAGCAGCGTCCTTCACGAGCCTCCTCCAAGTCTGATCAGGTGCCCATCCCCCTGTACGACATTAGCCCATCTCCTCCCTCGCCCATACGACACCCGTTAGCCTCCTATATCCGGCCAAACGGAAGCTACTTGGGCATGCCGTGGCTGACCCAGTCATCGACGCCTCGCCTGCCGAAGGAGATCACTGATGAGAATGTGTCCAAATTTTGTATAATCTGTGAGCTCATGGTTGCGCTTTGGCCGTCTATTTGTGTACGAAAACGTGGCAGCACGATGGCGAGATGTTAACTACCTCGCCTGGTACACAGGAGGTCTCGGGTTCGACCCTGACGCCAGCTGTATATTTGGAGTTTGCGTATCTCTCTCCATGGTCACGTAGATTTTTATCTGGGTTTTCCCGTTTTCCCCTCCATATTTAGAAACACGCGTTTAGATTATTTGACTGCTATAAATTTCCACGCAATGACAAGCCACTTCGTTGAGCTATCATACGTGGTGGCCAGGCCGTTTCAGTGGGCCTTACCTTATCAACAATAGTTGAATAGTTCAGTTTTATTCTATCCATTTTACCAATTTTCAACCGGGTATAACCCTAATAGCAACATCGATTTATGCCCGACGTTTAATTTGGACAGCTGCCACCGGGGGTGGGGAGGGGGGACGCCCCCCTTTAAAATGTGTTAATGATGAGGTGCAAGTCGCTCTAAGACATGCCCGCATTAAGGAGGGTGGCTCGATATCAAATGCAAAATCATCGTCGTCATCTTCGGCGATGTCACCATCGTCGTCGTCATTGTTGTCATCGTCGACGTCGTCATTGTCGTTATCGTCGTCATCATCGTCGTCGTCGTTGTTATTGTCATCATCGTGATAATTGTCGTTATCATCGTCATTGTCATCATCATCATCGTCGTCATTGACATTATCATCATCATCGTTGTTGTCATCGTCGTTATAGTCATCATCATCTTCGTCATTGTCGTCGTCATCGTCGTCATCAACATCATCGTCGTTATAAATACCTCGATATGGTGCCTCTCTCGAATGCCAGTCCGCAACGCCATTAAGGCTCCGGGCAGCATCGGGACACAGAAGCACTCGCCGAAATCCGACGCCACCTTGCACTGCAGCAGTGGCAGGCAGAATAACCCGCAGATGCCTGTCGCAACATGGAGTAGCAGTGGGAGAAATTATCAATCTAAAACGAATCTATTAAACTATTTTCATTTTACCAGGTAAGGCTGCGGCTGAGCTATGTAGTAGCTCTTTTATCAGAAACGACCTGGCTATCACAAATGATCGTGCAACGAAGTGGCGGCTTGTCATCATCACGTGGACATTTATAGCAGCAGCAGTCAAATACTCTGAACGCGTGATGTTGATTCTCAATGTGGAGAAAGAAAGAGACGTGCGACATATAACAATAGGGGGTTTCTACCTTTTTTCTGGCAACGAAGATGAAACCTTTTTACAAGGAATCATGTGTGCATTAACCACAATACTTGTGGTCAAAATGCAAACAAAAAATACACTCTTTGATACTGGCAAAGGAGGTCTAATGATGTAGATGCTTGCCCCAAGCCCTCATTAATTTTATAGTGCATTGTCTTTGAGCTGTACGCCTTTTAGGATCCTCTGGTCTAGCACCAATTGAGACGAGGCTCAAAAGAAAGCCATCTCTGGTGTGGACCAATCAGTTTCAAGGACAATGCATATATTATTAGAGTGTGTTTTTTGTTTGCATTTTGACCACAAGTGTTGTGGTTAATGCACACATGATTCCTTGTAAAAAGGTTTCAGTTTTTTTGCCAGAAAAAAGAGGAAAAACCCTATTATTACCCTTTGATACTGGCAAAAGAGATCTAATGATGTAGACGTGCAACACTCCAAATACATACAGGTGTCGGGATCGAACTCACAACCTCCTGTATACCAGGCGAGGTAGTTAACATTTTTCCACCACTAAGGTCTTGGACTTGTCTGCCGTGATTATACCAGGTTGTCAAGTTATTGTTATTTGTCATTATCATTAGAGTCGTGTACCCAGAGAAGCATCACTGAGAGTGTCAGAACTCATTTCAGAAGGGTCCTGTTATTATTTATTTTTGCAGAAGGGGCCGATGGTACGATGTGTTATACAAATTTCGTGATTTCCTGGTAATTGTTTGAGCATGAGGATGCGAGTTATATTTTGTGTCTTTTTTTCTTTAGCTATGGAAATAAACCAGAGAACCCAGTACAGGAGAAGATTGTACAAACTCGACACAACAAAAACAGCAGCCATCATTCACGACGACGTGAAGGTGACATCACTATCACGCTCGACCGAGGCCAAATTGACGTTGGGGCCTTGTAAAGTGTTGAAGCCTCATTAACAGAAGGTCATGGGGCAGACCCAGGTGTTGAGGGCTAATTGCCTGAGATGGCTGACAGATGCATCACCTCTACTTTCCACCGGCCCTCTGCCCGTTGTTATGAGCGTTGCTACTCTGTCCTCCATTGTTGCTGGTGGGTGACTGCCTCCAACTACCCAATAGCAGCGTCCTTCACGAGCCTCCTCCACAGAGGCTGATATTGACACCGCTGGGACCATTCTTCATCTGAAAATCCAATCAGCTCCACATCTTTCTGAACGACATCAGCCCATCGTTTCTCGAGCCTATGCAGTGCCCATTTAGCCCCCTATATGAGGTCAAACAGAAGCTGCTTGGGTATGCGGTGGTTGGGCATGTGGGCTGCATGACCCAGCCATTGCGGCTTCGCCTGTCAGGGGCAGCTCAGTGATGGGTCTATGTCGAGATCTTTCAAGGATCTGTGAGCTCCTCACACAATCCAATCTGGTTAAACCCAGAATGAATTGTAGGCAGGCCAGCCTTATTGGTTAAAACCGGTGCAGATGTTGCTTTAAAGGGCTCCACATTTCACAGGCACAGAGAGGGGAGGGGATAACTGTGGCCGAGAAGACCCGGAGCTTTGTGTGAATCGACAGGCCAGGTAGCTTCCACGCAGCGTTACGCAGCTGATGCAAATATAATGCCGCTCGACTGCTTCGAAGTTAGACTGGAACTACTGCCAAACTAGAGCTGGTCATAAGCACACTGCTCGAAGTATGGGAACATCTCAACTCTATCCACAACTGCCTCATCACTCGTGCAGAGGTTGAGGGGGGTGGAGTATTTGATGACATAAAATACCCAGGCAAGTGTCGTATTTTAGTGGGGCTCATGTGGTGCATCGGCCAGTCATTTCAGTCAGTCAATCCATGGCACCTGGGTCTGTTCTGTGACCTCTTCACGTGGCCTTAACGTGCACATAACCTAGCACAAGCGCCGTGGTGATGTCACCACCACTTAGTGTCGAATTGGCGGTTGTTGTTGAACTTCTTTCGCACCGGACGCAGCTAATTGGAGGCAGTGGCTGCGAACACGCTATGAAAGCAATGGCTGTTCATTCATAACAACAACTCATTAGGATCGGCCTCCCCCCCCCAATGACATTGCTCACAGCAGACCTCGGTGATTGCCAACACAGTCTGTTCTTCTATAATGCGGTAGAAGTTGCGTTCCCAAAGGACACCGCATTATGGAAACATCGCGTTGCAACAAATAATAAAGGGGGTAAAGCACAGCCTGCGATAATGTGTGAGTTGCGTAACGCACGCCAAACAAAGACAGAGGTGTCGTGGTTCGTGTCTAGAAGCATCCAGCAACATCCCGCATTGTGTGATGCTACGCTGAGGCAGCCGTATGACCGCTTATTCCTACTTGCACGATGTAGTTCCGTTCGCTCAATCGCGTTATATCCAATTCGCGATCTGAAATAAGCGGCATTAATGTAGAACAGATTGCACATGTATATGCAACAAACACATACACATGTGCATTGTGTGTAAGTATGTCTGGGGGAACGGTAGTGTAGTGGTTAGTGCACTGTGCTACTGTGCTACAATCCCGGCGACCCGAGTTCGATTCCCGCTCACGGCCACCAACACCAGTGACGATTATTTAAACCAGTCCTGGGCCTCCCTTAGGTCGACTCAGCCTCAAATGAGTACCTGGTGTGTTGTGTAAACATTGCCACTAGGGAGACAAAGGCGGTCGGGCGTGCCAGCCTTCATAGGTGCTGTTCGCTAACAGCACTTGCCCAAGGGTCTGTTAAGGCTACACGGGGGATTTTTGTCGCTTTGACGGCAGTGACCCATGGTCCTGGTGGCTTGTGGTGGCCGGGAAACTCACGAATGGAAAAACTAAGAATAGGTTTTACCCTTTCTAGCAACAAAACAGGAGGTGTCATGAAGGTGTTCAAACACCAAATAAGATACCTTTTGCAAGGCATCAAGTCTGCATTGATGCTTTTTATAGATAGTTCCTGCAACTTAGGAGCGAGAATCAACAAGTCATGAAACGAATACTGGATACTCAACACTCCCCCCCACCCCCCATGAACTGGCTTTGGAACCATACAACCACATACAGAATAGCTGAATGAAACAAGATCACAGAGCGATACAACAGGCCTATACAAACATATAATTGCCACGGTTAGCTATGTACGGTGTGAAAGAAGATGCCTTTTGAAAGGAATAAAATCTGAAGACCAATTATTTTTTTTCATCATTTTGTATACTGGACAACACCAAAAAAGATGCCATAGATACAAACTCACAGATCTCCGTATCCTGGAAGCAATCCATCATGTTGGATGACCACTGGGCCTGCCCCTGTGCATTCGCCATTTGCACCACGGGCTGCGCCACCAGCACGGGGTGCTGCGTCACGATCATCTGCAACATAGCAAAGGAGCAGACGTAACATTACAAACGATGATGACAATAATCATAATGTAGTAGATTCAACTAATTCTCAGACGTCCTCCTTGGAGGCAACACATTTATTGATACAAACACAAAGGGGTAACTGCCCCTTTACCAGATAACAACCTGTGGTGGTGGACCACCAGGCTCACTACACGAGTTACACTGGGAGTAGCTACAACGGACCGGAGCCCGGCTTGGGTCCAGGTCCACGTGTTGGTGACTCTTCTTGGATGTAGAAGGTAAAATGTAGATGTTCAGGATTAACAATAGGAACTAAGAACTCCGGTCCTTCTGGGGACCCGGCTGATATTCTCACTGGTCGTGGCTGGCCCCGCCCTTGGCCACGACCACCTTCTCGAATCCTCTAGCAGGATCTCGCCCCGACACGTGACCACCCCTAGCCCCCACTTGGGGCCCCTGTTTAGATCTTACTCGTCACGTGCCTTCCAGGGTCAACCAGAGTGCCATGGACTTTATTCACCCCACTCATGGCCGGCACTCTCACACCCCCTCCTATAGGGGACAGCACTGCACGCCGAGCGGGGTGCCACTCAGCGCTCTCTATCAGCGCTCACCGAGCCCCTCTAAGGCTGGTACTAACACCCACATGTACGGGGTATCCGCGATGTCAATACATCGCACGCCGTGCCTCGCTAGAGCCGGCATTATCCAGTGACAGCTAATAATGTCGCTATATACGTGATGTCCGCAATGTAAGTACATCGCACGCCGTGCCTCTCTAGGGCCGGCACCACACAGTGACATCCGCGATGTCACTAAAATAATAATACTTATTCTATTAGACCGCACACTCCGGTTAGCACGGTTGGGCACGTACAGTGCGAAACTTTTACATACATACACTACACTCTACACTACAATACACTACACTACTATACGCTACATTATACACTACTAGGCACTACATTGTACACTACACTATACACTACTATACACAGCATATCTATACAAAACATATATACACAACACTATACCAAACACCACTATACTAAATTGAAAACTCGTTTTTTTCGAACTGCTTTTTATGTTTAGTTTTTGCCCTTCGATTAGCACGGTTGTCTACGTATGGTGCGAAAGAAGTTCAGCATATGTACTATATATACGTAGACCAATATCCTCAGCAAGAATGAGAAGAACACCTTGCACTCCCGGACTTATATAAGTATTACCCAGCTATTGGATACAAATTCAATCAAACAACTGGGTGAATGCGGCAGCTCGAGATACCCGAAAAAACTGGGAAGGGGATCCGCTAGGTCCATGGCGACTAAGAGGACTAAACCTCTTCCTCCTTCCCAGACCCACCAAATGTAAGCACGAATCACCTGGAGACTGATGTTGTACCCCCCCCCCCCCCTTATGTGTCCGGCTACACTTGGTTTCTGGGGGACCTCGTTCAGTATACAGGAGGTCGTGGGTTCGATCCCGACCCTGATGCCTGCTGTCTATTTGGGAGTTTGCGGTGTTCCCCCTCTCTTCACGTGGTCGTGTCGATTTTTCCCCGGGTCCTCCGGTATTTCCCTCCACATTTAGAATATATGTATGTTGAACTTTTTTCGCACTGTATGCAAGCATCTGTGCTAATCAACATACGTTTAGAGTATTTGGATGCTATACATTTCCACTTCGTCGAGCTATCATTTGTGGTCGCTTCTGAAAAAGAGCTATAGTATCGCTCAGTGGTGCCTTAAGCTGGAAAAATAAAAAAACATGTTTAATATAGATTTGAAGTTTTCGTGACTGCAGGGATCCATACTCTTTGGTTCTTTCGGTAAAGTCACGTAGGTATAAAATAAAATAAATTAAATCATGACGTTTCGGGCGCAACACAAGCGACCGTCATCAGGTAGGACAACCACTCTCACTCTACAGACAGGAGGAGATCATACAAACTCCACTCACTCTCACTCTACAGACAGGAGGAGATCATACAAACTCCACTCACTCTCACTCTACAGACAGGAGGAGATCATACAAACTCCACTCACTCTCACTCTACAGACAGGGAGACATCATACAAACTCCACTCACTCGCACTCTACAGACAGGGAGACATCATACAAACTCCACTCACTCTTCAGAGCAGGAAGGAGAACACAAAAATGCGCCCGGGTCGGGAATCGAACCTCGGTGTTTAGTTTGACTTGTATATTTTGTTAGGTGATTTGTTTACCTTTCCTATACCCTTGCACTGCTATCGTGTTTGTGTGTCGTGTTTGTTGTTGTAACCTTCTCACCCGCCCCTATTGGGCATATGTGGGGCAAAAAGTGCTTCGTAGCTCATCGGATTCCTCCCGCAGCACCAATCTACGATTCCGATTCAGTTCCTTCGCCGTGAGACGCAAAAAAAAAAGAGAGAGGGGGAGCAAAGAGAGGGAAGAGGTAAGAAGGAGGAGAGCAGAGCGTGAAATCTTTCATTTAAAAAGGGGGGGGGGGCACATAAAGCAAAGCATTGAAAAAAAAACGAAATGATGAACGAAGCAAAAGTGCCGACTACACCGAGCATCTTCTTGATTCCTCTGATCGTAAAAAAAAAGAGACGCGACCACTACCACTGCCAGCGACGCCGACGCGCGTCGATGCGACGAGCGGCGTGGCCGCAGAGCCCTCACCTTGGGGACGGCGTTTCGCGTGCAGAGCCTCCTTCACGCGCCCTCCCGCTCGCTGCTGACAAGGCGGGCAGAGGAACAACGTTACACGTTATAAACCCACGGACCACAACACGAGAGAGCGAGAGAGAGAGCTCAGATTAAACACGCACGGAACAATAGCCACGCGCAATTTTGCTCGTCAAACAGAATCGCGTGTTCTCGGGCACACGAACGGGATACACGGCAGCAGGGCGTGTCCACTCAGGGCCATTGCTAAGGCGAGGGCCGGGTGTGGCTCTGTATGCACGTGTGTGTGTGTGTGATGCACTTCTTTCGCGCCGTACGTAGCCAGCCGTGCTAATCGGAGGTGCGGGGGAAGGACAACAAACTGACACACAAAAAGCAGTTCTAAAGAAAATTAGTTTTTAAATTAGTATAGTGGGGTTGTGTAGTGTATAGTGGTATAGTGTAGTGTATAGTGCAGTGTATAGTAATGTAGTGGATAGTGTAGCGTATAGTAGTGTTTAATAGTGTATAATGTAGTGTATAGTAATGTAGTGGATAGTGTAGTGTATAGTGGTGTATAATAGTGTATAGTGTAGTATATATGGAACTTATTTCGCGCCGTACATAGACAACCATGCTAACCGGAGGTATTGGGGGGGGGGACAACAAACGAAGCGCAAAAAGCAGTTCTAAAGAAATTAGTTTGTTAATCTAGATTAGTTTGTTAATCTAGATTAGTTTGTTAATCTAGATTATTTAAAAGTGCACAGCTCCAGTGGCTTCATAATATCGATAAGAAAGAGTGTCCCAGACGGCTGCAGAGCGTATCTGAAAACCGCGCGATGTAGTGACCGTCTATCCCAAGGGCGTCGAGGAGGAGCCGTACCCTGCCTCGCCAGGAGAAGGCGGTACGACACACACGTGGACTACATCTGTTCCATTTGTGCGGGATAGAGCGTTTCCCCCTCGCGTGCGTGGGATTTATCCGTGTGCTCCGGGTCCAGCTCACCGGCTCTCTAGCTCGTGCGTGGTTCCTCGCACCTCTGAGTCGTCCTCTCGCTTGGTAGAGTGCAGAAAGGTACGGCCGTGCGCGTTACCCAGTTGGACTTTGTTCGCACCGTACGTAGCCAACCGTGCTAATCGGAGATGCGGCGGACGTACAAGAATCTTAACACACAACAAGCAGTTCTGAAGAAGTGGTTGTTCTATCTAGATTTAAAAGTGCATGGCTCCCATTGGCTTCCTAACAACGTGGACGCCGCGGTGGCTAGGAGATGTTAACTACCTCGCCTGGTATACAGGAGGTCGTGGGTTCAATCCCGACCCTGACCAGCTGTATATTTGGAGTTTGCGTGTCTCTCTCTCCCATCGTCGCGTGGATTCACAGTAGGGTGAGGGAGGGTGGCGATGATTGCCACTGTGTGGTCGAGCCTAGGAGCACCCCCAGTGGTAGCTGCCCCTCTGTGACACAAGGCGATCAGCGCGAAGGAAGGCACTGCTGGTGTTGTTTGACTGACACCAGTCTGCGGTGGTTTCACAGAGCAGGGGCGATGTTGCTGCTGTGCGACATACCGAGCGAGTCATGGGCTAGGATCCTCTTTTTGAATGCCATTACAGACATGATCTTAAATAAGGGGATGGTTTGCGTGGGGAAGAAAGCACGTATTTTACATAAAAAGTACTGGGGTTTTTTTACATGGAGAGACCGATTTATGGAGGAGACATTGTCTGCGAATGTATTGTTTGTTTAATACTTAGTAGTGGCAGGCTTTCGTGACGAATATTATCTACAAGAGAGGGTTTTTTTGGGTTAGATCGCGTAAAATTATAAATGCGTCGTTTAAATCCGCCACCACCACCCGACACAGCCAACTAGTAAGGTTTTTTTACGTAAACAAAACGTGTCCAATCGTTACTAGTCCAGCACTCACCAGTTGTGTGTTGGAGAGTAAACCCACTGTAACATTTACAATTCGAGTACGGCGCCATTGAGGCTGATGGCGAGAGTGAGATGCGGGATCACGAACCTGTGCCTGGGGTTGCGCTCTGCTGATCTCGCTGATGCTGTTGTGGTGGTGGTCGTGGTGGTCTCGTTTCAAGCTGCGCCTCTGTCTAAATATGAGCCCATCACTTCTCCCCCCCCCCCCCCCAACTAGCCCACACCCCCCTCCCCCCCACGAGCCCACACCCTCTGCCATCCCTGCCCCCACTAGCCCCCCAGCCCTACTAGGCCAAACCCTCTCGGATCACGTGGATCTCCACGTGAATCCACCCATGCTTCTCTAAACCGAGTCGAAGAATGTCGATGCGAGCCTCAGGCTGAATTCTATCACCACTCTTGGGCACGCGATCAACAGGCGAGGATCAGACCTGTATAGGCCCAGTCCACCCGAACGGCTGTGACCATCCCCCCAGTGTTGAATGGAACACAGTAACGTGTCCCCATCGGGCATCCCTGTCGACAGAGAGCTCTTGACCGGACGGTGCTTCTATCATCTCCTGACGACAGCACACCGTCCATTGTGGTGTCATGTAGTGTATAGTGTAGTCTATGGGTCCCTAAGTGAGTCTTTAGATCTCTATGTGAGTCTATGGGTCCCTAAGTGAGTCTTTAGATCTCTTCGTGAGCCTGT